GGTTAGTGGCCTTGAGGGGGGGGCGCAGAGGGTGTGTGTGTGTGTGTGTGTGACGGGCGCTGGGAGGCCGGACCCCGACCCGTGTCGCCGTCTGGAGCTAGTCAGACTCCCCCCACCCCTCGGAGCCCAGGAGGGAGGGAGGGGTGGAAGGGGAAGCCAAGCGGGCGCGGAGGGGGCTGGTCCTTGCCGGGCCAGAAGCCGGGAAGGACGCCGTTGCTGGTGGCCCGGTTCTGGAGCAGGAGGGCCGGGTGGGTGAGTGAGGAGAGGGCGGCGGAGCGGGATCGGGATCTCTCCCACCGCGCCGCACCCCTCGGCCGCCGCCGCCGCCGCCCCTTCTGTGGCCCCTCCGCTCTTCCCGGCAGAGGAAGCGGCGCAAGGGAGAGGCGAACGGCTCCAAACTTCTCCTCAAGTCCGGGAGAAAAGGGGGGGCGGCGGCGGCAAGCAGGCAGCCCCGTTGGGCATCGGGGGACGGTCTGGAGGAGGAGGAGGAGGAAGGCCGGGGCCCGTCCCGTCGGGTTTTCGGGGTGCCCTTCTCCCTGCGCCCCCCGCTCGCCCCAGATCTCCCACCCGCTTGCCCCGAAGGGACCGCGCGCGGGAGACGGCGCCCCTTCGAAAGGCTCGGGCGCCCCTGCTCCTCGCCTCCCCTCGCCTGCCGGCAGCGCGTCTCTCCTCGGGCTGCCCGCCGACCCGCTTGCTGGCTTGCTCCGGCCTCTGGGGTCCGGGGGCGCCGCGTCGCCGAAGGAGGCGTTCGAAAGAGGACTCGGAGCGCGGGGTGTGTGTGTGTGTGTCGGGGGGGGAGAGAGTGGGGCGGGGGGCTCGCCTTTAGCACCCGTGAATGGAGGAAAGGAGGGTTGGGCTCTCCGGGCTCCTCTCTAGCGCGAGCCGGCCTTATTCTCCCACACACACACACACACACACACACAAAGACACCCCACTTGGATCAGCCCCCATGTTTTCTTCGCCTCCTTGCCAAATTCCGCCCAGCCCCTTCTCGCAACTCCCCGGCGGTTTCCCACGACAGTCCGCAAAAGGCTCGCTCTCCTCTCGACGCTCCGTTGTGACCGAAGCTCAAAAGGAGAAGCCCTTCCCGAATCCCTTCCAGGACCCAGAGGAGCTCCCTCGGTCCCGATCCCAGGCTTGGCTCGTTCAAGAGCAACCCGGGAGTGCGAAGCGCTGGCGTGTCTCGCCTTCCCTTATCTTTGGTTCTTCTGACCTAGATACTGGCTGGTGACGCTCCTTGCTCTCTGAGGGAGTCTCCCCCAATCTGGTGCCCTCCCTGCGCAGGACTACATGTCTCATGGTCCCCAGTCTCCGCAGCCAGTAGCCAAGCTGGTGAGGGATGATGGGGATTATACCCAACATCTTTGGAGAACATCGCATTTAAGAGGCCTGGGGCTCTGCGGTCACTCAGCTGTTCGGAGTCGGTCTCCACCCAACCTGATCTTGGACCCGGCCTTGTCTCTAGCGAGTGTGGGGTAGGGAACAGAGTTATGAACTAGGGCTCAGGAGACCTGGGTTCAAATCCCCACTCAGTCACAGAAATTCCCTGGGAGTGTGGAGCTGGCAAAGCCACTCCTTAAATACCTCACATGCCTCAGAAACTCTTATTAGGGGTGCCATAAGTCAGATGCAGCTTGATGGCATGTGATATACACACACACACACACACACACACACACACACACACACA